AATTAGGGGACTTATAACCTTACTTACTAAGTCCCATGATCCTCCAAGAACCCTAAACCCTAAACCCTAAACCCTAAACCCTAAACCCTAAACCCTAAACCCTAAACCCTAAATCCTAAACCCTAAACCCGAGGGCTTCAGGGTTTGGACTGCGCTTCGAACCTGCAATTGGCCCCTGGCCCTCGGCACCCCTCCTCTCGTACTTGACCGATATACCTTAAGAACCCACAACCCCACCCTTTTTTGGTAGGTTCTTGTTATAGGCCCTAATTTGGGATTTATAGGGACCCTACAAAAAAGTAGGTTTTGGGTTCTTCAGGTATGTGTATGCATATAAATAATAGGCATCATACCTGTATTACATATGTCTACACACAGACATGTGTGCATAGCAACTCATGTACTAGCAAGAACATGCGAAGTTAATTACAGCAAGCTTGCATACCCACACAGACTTCCGACTGCGGCGTTAGAGCTCTGCATCAGAACCCTTAAACCCGTAAACCCCTAAACCCCTAAATCCTTAAACCCTAAACCCTAAACCCTAAACCCTAAACCCTAAACCCTAAAACCCTAAACCACTAAACCCCTAAACCCTAAAGCGGCGTCAGAGCTCTGCATCAGGGCACTTCGTCAGCTTCTGGGAGAAGAGGGCATCGGACTGGCAGAACGCTGGCTGTCGGAAGCATCCAACCATCCGAGTCCCAAAGCCCCAGGAACCTATTTCTATCTATATCTATATATATATATATATATATATCTCTCTCTCTCTCTCTCTATCTATCTATATACACACCCTAAACCCCAAAACCCAAAATGTATCCATCTATCTCTATATGGGGATGGGTCAATACCCCGTTACAAGCCCTTCTCGCGCCGGCTTTGTTTCAAACCTTTGTCGCGCGGCAATGCCACATGATGGACCTTGTCGCGCCAGCCTTGTCGCAAAAAAACACTTTTGTTACAACCTTTGTCGCGCAAGGGGTGCCCCGGCCCTGTTACAAACCAGAAGGTTTTGACCCGCACCCATATATTCACACCCTAAACCCTTCTCGTGTATCCTTGACCCTGGGCCCTACACCCTTTCCATTTTCCTTCCTTAAGTCCTGAACCATTCTGACCATCGAAGTCCAAACCGCACCTGCGGGAACCCTAAACCCTAAACCCCCGAAACGCCTAAACCCTCAACCCCAAACCCTAAACCCCAAATGAACCCTAAACCCCTAAGGAACCCTAAACCAAACAGGACCTGCTAGAACTTGGTCACATAACCCCCTAAAACCCCTAAACCCTCTAGACACTAAACCCCAAAGGAACCCTAAAACCCTAAACCCAAACCCCTAAAGTTTAGGGTTTAGGGTTTAGTGCCTAAACCCAAAAACCCGCAAATCCCTAAATCACACCCACCACCTGCTGGAACTTCGTCACGTTCTCAACATAATATACAGGATCCCCACACCCTCAACCCCTGAAACATTAAGGGCCCTTTACATTACGGCTCTTAGTCTGCCGCCTGCTGGAACTTCGTCACGTCCTGGAGCACCGCCATCTTCTCCACCTCGCTTTCGCCCACGCCCGACGTGTGGAACCGCGCCCACAAGGGTGCGATGGTACAGTATAGTGTGGTCTAGTCTAATTTAGTCTAATATAGTATAATATTGTATAGTGTAGTATAGTGTAGTAATAGTGTAGTAATAGAATAGTAAAAGTAATAGTATAGTCTAGTCTAGTCTAGTCTAGTCTAGTCTAGTCTAGTCTAGTCTAGTCTAGTCTAGTCTAGTCTAGTCTAGTCTAGTCTAGTCTAGTCTAGTCTAGTCTAGTCTAGTCTAGTCTAGTCTAGTACATTATAGTATAGTATAGTATAGTATAGTATAGCATAGTATAGTATAGTATAGTATAGTATGGTATAGTCTAGTCTAGTCTAGTATAGTATAGTATAGTGTAATATGGTATAGTATAGTATAGTATAAAAAAGTATAAGAATGTAATGATAGTATAGTATAGTATAGTAGAGTATAGTAAAGCATAGAATGTCAGTGCTCGGACGATCCATAGCTGCAGGCATTGCTATTCCAACTCGCAGTACGCCACAGCTTTCTACTAAGTCGTTCAACCTTGGGATCCAGCAACGAAAATGATCAAAATCAAGAATCACCCAGGGAATTATATCATACTAAACCTTGCCGTTTATTTCTTCTACCTCTATGTACAGCATCCCAAACTGAAGCTCCAATCCAAAACCAAAGACTGAACCCGAAACCCTAAACCACCTAAGCCCCAAACCCTAAAGCCCCTAAAGCCCCTAAACCCCCAAACCCTCGACCCTGAACCGAGGCAGTCGCCAAGTCTTGCAGCGCCAGGTTCTGCGAGCCCTGGCTCTGCAACAGTTGTCAAATTGCACGGGGCACTGCCAAGAATACTACACTGTAGTATAGTATAGTATAGGGGCGTTTAGAATTAGAATAGGGTCCTTGGGGTATGTTATACAATAATGATAAAAAGGAACCACCCAAAGAGTAATAGGCAATTAACATAAAAGGCCCCCTTCTGGCTCAACTCCAACTCGGGGTCTTTAGGGTTTCGGATCTAGGCCGGTTTGGGGTTCGGTTGAGGGGTTTAGAATAGCAAAAAGAAGAAGTTTGCTCAGCCCTTTGTACGCAACAAACCACAGGCGGCTTTTGCTGGTGTTGGCATTGCTGTTGACACTGTCCTCTTTGCCTCTAAGTGCTGATTGGATGGATGATTCCGTTGCCTGCTTGCCTCTTGCTGACATTGACTCCCGTGTCATTATGTCCGTCGCCTTCAGAACACCGTGATCCTTCAAAACACTTCACCTTTAAAGGGCTCCTTAAAGGGCTCTATCAGGACTACTATAATTAAGGGTTTAGGGTTTAGGGGCCTTAATAATTAGAAGAGGGTTTGGGGCTTCAGTACCAGCACCATGTCTTCATCCGTTCTCTTGTGAGCTTTTTCTGGCTGCTCTCCCCACACTGCAAGCAGAAGGGCCTGGGAAGCCACGTGCGTGATGGCCCAGATGCTGACGGTCTTGGGGAAGTTCTTCGCGCAGATGTAGCAGATCTGGCAGCAGCGACTCACGTCCGAGGACGACGGCACACGGTGACATTCATGATGATTACAGCGATGGCCATGACTGATCTGGTTGAAACCTGAAATGGTGAAAAACAACAGCACAAGTATCATGAAAACGATGGCACCGTAACCGGCCAAATAAGCACCGCGCAAGTAACATGACATTCCTATCAAAACATCGTGAGCGTTATAGTCACGCAAGATACCAAAGAAGAAGCGCAAAGCTCAAGCTGCAGGTAGCACTTAAACAGCATCGCGCATAGAAGCAGCAGGCAAGGATCGCAGTTGCAGCACGCAACACCTTACATATCTTTGGAGGAACTAAATGCCAACAAATCGGCGTCATCATCGACACCGTCCTATCATCATCTTTAGCAGTTCTTCTTCATCACCATCTTCTTTTCCTTCTTCTTCATGACTGTCACCATCGCCATCAACATCTTCGTATCGTGAAGCATATATATATATACATATATATATATATATATATATGTATATATATATATATATGTATATTAAGAATGCACTTTGCTCTGCCAAGCGCACCAGCGCGGAGCGGATATCAAACTTCTCCTTCTCCAGCCGCTCAGCAAGCTGTTCGCATAGGGCCTGGATGTGATGCATTCATCACAAGTGTCGGGAATGTTTGGGGTCGCATGGCGCTTGCGCTCTAGGCTGAAGGGTTTGGGGTGTCCTGTTGTCTTTGGGCTGGAGAGTGCCTTCAGGGTCTAGGTCCAGGTCTAAGTCTTCCTAAACACGTCGGCCACGCTAGCAAACTATCCAACAACAGCCGTCTAACAGCACTCTACCAAACCTTCCAAAGGTCTCATACAAACTCAGTAGATACCCTGTAATCTTATTCCACCTCCATGTTCTGGGCTTAAGTGTACTATCCCCCCTGGTACTCTAAAGAACCTGGACCTACTTGTCCAGTATCATGGGGAACTACAGGTTAACCTTTGGGAGTCTATTGGG